CTTGAAGACGTTTCACCTCTCATCCGAGAAGCTTCTTCAGTTCTAAGGTCAAATGGTGGAGAGTCCCAGATATAAACCTAGTGGGAGTTTCCCCCCACAGAGGGACAAAAGGACCCCCTGATGATCCTCTAATCGCCTGAGCCAAGCTTGGCTCCTGCAAGCTCCTTTGACCCTGCAAAAGTGGACTGATAATGATCCACTATTGCTCAACATGAGAAAAATCAAGGAGGGTTTCCCTTCTGGCAGTCTTTAGTAGTGACACCATTTTAACCATTTAATTTTCTTTTTTTTTCAAATTAAGATTCCACTAAGGTGGGAGCCTTCCACCTTAGTGGCTTTGCATTAAAATTCTGAGAAGAATTGGTGACAAAGGGGAGCCCTGGAAAAGCCAACAAAGCAGGAAGTCACTGCGGGTGTATGGTGTGTAACAGCAAGCTGGATATCGCATACTCCCACAGAGTTCCACAGAATTCCCACAGAATCCACAAACCAGAGGTGGACTTGTTGGGCAAACTCGCATGCACCCTGAAACAACTTTCAGAGAAGAAAGAGCTAGTTCAAAGTTCCATGACCAGGGTCAACACCACATAGTGTAGTGAGATATTAATAATGATGATAATCTCCTTTTCAGTATTTTGGAGTAGACTTTTCCAGTAGTAGCATGATCACCCCATAAGTGGAGCACACCCTCCATGAATAGTCCACACAGGAAAGTACAAATGGAGAGGGTGAGTGGAGGCACTCACACAGATTCTGTCACGACAGCATCTGTGTTAGGTCTGTTATTCCAAAAAGCCAAATATAATAAATGTGAGGTTAGTACCAGCATTTAAATTATAGTTCAAGCGTATGGATCACTAAGGGTCTACAAAATGCATGCAAAAAGAAAAATACATTGGACTGGAATTCCTAAAACAAAAAAACAAAAGAGGCAAAAAAGTATAAAAAATACAAAACTAAATAATTTATTAATCTATATAACATATAACATACTCCGATGGACCTCAAGAGCAACTTAGTTAGTATCTTGCCCATATTTGGCATGCAGGCTGGAGCAGCCAGGGATTGAACAACCAACCTTTCAATTGGTAGATGACCTGTGGTACCTCCTGAGCTACAGCCATGCCCATATTGTTTTCTTTCACCATATTTACAAATTCTCTGTAAAAAGTTCATACTTTTTATTGCTTTTAAATCTGTGAATGGCTTAGATACATTGTTAACACGCTCACTGGACAGACCTGTAGAGCATTAGCTTTTCAGCGTGGATACTGGAGAACATGTTATATTAAAATATAGCTTAAGAAGTGTCACATTTCCATTTTATACCCACAAACCTTTTATTATTATTATTATAATTTTATTTACTCGAAGTGTGTATGTGTATTAGTTGACCATACCAGTTTGTAAATCTCGCTCTCCAGGTTCTGGATGCAGTCTAGCTTCCTCTTGCGACAGCGCTGGGCAGCAATGCGATTTTTGCTGCGCCTGCGGATGTCATGGATGAATTCCAGCTGTTCTGAGTTCAGTTTATGCATCTTGATGAGAATCTGGAAGTCATTGCGTGGCAAGTTGGTGATCTGGTCCACAGGAAAAGGCAGCTTCACCTACAAAAATCAGGTCTTTATTGCAGTCTATTTAATTTTAAACCAAATGAATCAGGACTGTTGCCATGGAAATTAAGAAAACTACATTTTATGTATATATTTTATATATTTTTTTTATATTTTGCATAAATATGACCTTAAACATTAGATTTTAACCTGTCCTAAAATTAGATGAAGTGAACTCAATCAAAAAAAAAAAAAAAATCAGACTCTTCACGTATTTATACAAGAAAATTATTTAACATACATATCTGCATTTTTTCTACATCTACGACTTCAGTGGGAGCACACACTCTGATCTTTTCTCTGCTTCTTGCAGAGACAATGTGAATATAAGACTTCAACATAGAAAGATTTATTATAGACATAACTGTTATCAGTATGTGTTCAGAAATGGAAGAAGTATTCAATTGCTGCAGTTGCATGTTGTCAGATGGAGTACACTGTGATATAAAATCCACTAGATGTCAGTATTAGTATTGCTGTTTGTGCACCAGCTCAGGCACAAAGAACAGAGATTATCGGCTTACCTTTCT